GCCCGCCCGGCGACTGCACGCTGTAGCAGGCGCGCCGCACCGCGCACTCCGCGCCCGCCGCCCCGCCCCCACACACACCCTCTGATGCAAACATTTTAAAACTACAGTTATTGCATTTTCAGATTTATTTTTGGTTATAATGTAAATTAATTGGTTCAACAACATGTAAATATACATGTAGAAGGTACCCTTAAACATTGACTAGATCCGCACTGCAAGACTGCAAAGGACAGGCTCGGGACCTTGAGGACATTGGAGATTATGTTCATCAATACTAATTGTAAAACAAACTCACACTATTTCCCATACAACATATTTCTAATTTATTATTTTTAGTACTCAAGCTTGCAAAAAACACATAATAATGCAGTAAATATGTAAGTATGGCTGAATACATTGCTACATTGTTTGACATACCTGGAGCATCAGAGCACTGTGTGAGAGTCAACAGATTTACATAGTGTCCCTTGAGTGCAGGGTCCGCATCAGCCAGAACCACCCGAGTCAACTTCTTAGCATGCGCACGCTCCAGTGTGCGTGCCACACCGGGCGAGTGGGGCAGCCACTGCCCATTGCACTGCCACTCCCATACCACCACGCAGTGCACCGACGACATCTCATCACACACTGCAATTTTTAAATTTCAACAAATTTTTGTAAAATTCAGCGACATTAGGATTTGCTATAGGAAATAGTCTTCAAGTCAAGACAGTGTTTATCAAAGACCATTTTAATTAAAAACTTAATGCACATAATCCTATTACATCCGTAAATGCACTTTGAGTGAAAGATCAATAAATAAGACTGCAACAAACACTTCAGAACTGTTTTGAACAATAAAAATTAGCTAATTATTGAATATACAATCAAGTAATGCTAATAAACCACGAACGACGCTGATCTTCTTTACCAATTATCGTTTTAATTTTCTCCACAAATAACTATGCATCAGATTTAAAAGGTCATCTAGCGTATGCTTTAAGATAATTATCGGAGGAATTATAGAGTCTTTGTTGCATTGTTAATGAGAATGTTGTGCTTTATGCGATCTGCAACTTACACAACAAGATATTCAATGACCAACTCTATCCACTTCCAGTTGCACTGACATTTCTCGAACTCAAACGGACAACACATAACAAATACAACGTAACTAACTCAAGATACATCGAAAAGCCTTCAAATTTAACAAACACAATAACATCACTGAAACATTGTGACTTATTTTCAGTAACTTTATAAAATAAGACGTTAGTTTAATTGATTTTAAAACTTTAAAAATGCCATAACGCTATGTACCTTGCGTCAACTATAGACTATAGGACTATAAGAATCTTGTGGCATAGTTTTGACAGGCAGGGGGGCTCCTGCTTGATTTTAGAGTTACCAGAAAGCAAAAATTTCCCACCTCCTTCGGAATTTATGATCTTGGTGCTTGTAGGAATTGCGAACTATTAAAATTGGTACATCTTAACATTAAAGCAAATAAGAGGTAAACTTTATACTTTTTGTTCAGTTTTGTGTTCAGAAATAATAATAAGTAATCGTAAGTTAGCATGATCGTACTCATGGTCCTAATATTAGCATCATTGTAATATGTACATATCTCAATGTTATATAGTTCTTGTGATATTTTTCTGGAATTTCGCAATCATAAATTGTCAACATTCACCAGTGCAGTTGCCGCCCCCTTATTGGTCAGATGCTTTTAGGATGACATTGTTAGTTTACATAATTGTCGGTTGCCTAATAATCCTTGTAGAACTATAGGCAACTAGGCAACAGGCATTCATGGTTTGAGATGAGAATATCGATATGTCAAACTGCTTACCGTTTTACCGTTTGCTGTTTCCCAAAAAAAATAATTAAAACCCGTCTGAATTAAAAAAAAAAAAAACTTAAATATGGTGTGTTATGTATCATCAGTCATCACATTATTCTCATCGATAAGGTTATATTAAAACTATGTAGCTCGTAGATTTTTGCTCGTAATCATTAGTTTACTTTACTGTATATACTCATGATTTTTACTTTCTGGCCAATGTGCTAGATTTGAATAGGTCTAACCTTATCAACCAATGAACTTATTCTCAATACATAGGCAGGATTTTATTCGCCCGTTAAAACTCTAACTTAAAATGAAAAAAATGATATAGCTGGGAGTGGTTTCAGATAAAATAAATGCTACAAAATAAAAAATAAAAATGCCTTTATATTTCCAAATATATATATAATATATATACATTTATTAAATAATCATTTCATCTGTATTCCAATTTAACAATAAAATTCTCAAAGACACAACATTGTTTAACTCTGTTTAACATACAAGGATCGTATCCCTCAAAGTACGCGGCGACGGCGGAGGCGGCGGAGGCGGAGGCGACGGCGCGAGCGCGGCGGCCGCTCAGCCCGCGGACAAAATATACATAAACAGTGGTCGTAGCGGCCGCCGCGCCCTCCGCCGCGCTGCCGCCTGCGCACGTTTCATTTACAAATACTGCTCATCGATGCGCTGACCGCTTACAAAGCACGATAAATGTTTTTTAATTACAAATGACGGCGACGAATCTCGCCGCTCCACGGACCGTCAGACGAATACATAATCCATAGAAAAGAGCCCTTCACAAGGGGATAGGTTTGACCACAAGTAGCCGACACGTCGCTACACAGAACATGAACATTCGATTATCTACAAACATTTTTCTAAAAATGCGGTCCACGTCCCGTGCGGCTCC